GGAGTTGTACAGGATTTACACTGACTCATCCCAAACTTTTCAAGAATCATTCTTGTATAGGATGACTGACTGACATTAATATTTCCCTTCTCATCTTGATTAATCTCTAATCCAAGGAAATATGTTGCAGGTTTAGATGTTATCTTGAACTCTGACTTTAATTCTTTTCCAAATATTTTTAGTTCTTCTTTATCGGTTCCTGCAACTAGTCCATCATCAACATACAGTGCAAGTATGAGTTTCTTTCCTCCCTGAATTCTAATGAACAACAAGTATCTGCATCGCTTTGTTTGAAATGTCTCTTTTTCAAGAATTCAGCAAAGCGTTTGTTCCAACATCTTGGAGCTTGTTTAAGTCCATAGAGACTTCGCTTGAGTTTACAGACTCTTCCTGAATTATCTTTAAAACCTTCAGGTTGCTCCATGTAAATATCTTCATCTAGTTTGCTGTAAAGAAATGCTGTTGACACATCAAACTGCATGAGTGACATCTTTTCATTTGCAGCAACACTTAATAGTGTTCTTATAGTTGAACTTCTGATCACAGGACTATAGGTTTCTTCATAGTCAATTCCCTTTTTCTGAGAAAAACGTTTTACCACTAGCCTGGCTTTAAAACGTACAACAGAACCATCTGGATTGTGTTTTACCTTGTAGACCCATTTCCATGGTATTGCTTTATGACCTTTTGGAAGACTTACCAAATCCCACGTTTGATTTTCCTTTAATGACTGCATTTCACTGTTCATGGCTTTAAACCATTCATCTTTTTCATCACTTTGAATGACATCTTTGTAGCTCACTGGTTCAAGTACTTCACATAGTGCAGACATAACGAAAGGATCATAACCAGATGGCTTTTTGATATTATTCCTGTCACGTAAAACCATACCTTTGGTCTTTTGATTACAACAGTCAGATTGATCTTCTTCATTAGATGAAACTGAACAACGGTTGTGAACATCTTCATCAGTTGAAATATTTTCTTTAAACAAAGTTTCTTTATTTTCATCTTTGATTTCAACATCACTCGAAACTGTATCATCTGAACAACTTTCTTCTTGCAAAATCACGGAATTTGGTTTGACAACCTTCTCATCAAAAATAACATCTCTTGATCGATGCATTTTAACATGTTTCTTATTCTGTTGTCCCATTCTTTCATGGTATAACTGCAATGCATCTTGATCATTGACAAAGTTAACTTCGACTTCAGAATTCAACGGTCTAACAGTTTTTGCAACAAGTTTGAACAAACCTCCATTGTTGTTTCTTATTTCAACAACACTTATCATATTGTCAATAAGTAGATGACAACTTCTTGAGGTTGAAACAAAAGAGCTATTTCTGTTCTTATCTTGAGTTGCAAGTACTGAGAACAAATTTCTTTTTACTTTTGGCACATACAAGACATCTGTAAGTTTAACGGTTTGCCATTTATTATTCACTTCACTTGAAGATGAATAATTCCTTTTCCAAAAGCTTCTATAGTATCACCATTTGCAACATATAATTTACTCAGTTGAGAAAATTTTTCAAAACTTTGAAATATGTCTCTTCGGAAAGTTAAATGACACGTTGCACCATTGTCGAAAAACCATTCATCAGTGTACGCTGACTCATCAATTGCAAAAACACTTGATTCCATATCAACTAGTGATTTCTTATTGTCATCGCGTAGATTGTTATTTCTTGGTTTTGCTGGAGCATTTTTGGAATTTTTAGAAGGTCTTCCATCACTGACCCACTTTCTACATTGCTTAACCCAGTGTCCAGGTTTATGGCAATAGTTGCAGTTACCAATTGGTTTTGTCCTTCTAGTGAAATCTCTTGATTTGTTGAAACTTGGCTTTTCAACATTTACAACTAAGGCGTTCTGCCTTGATGATTTATCGATTGTGTCGAAAGTCTTTATCTCTCTTTCGAAAGCACAGAGATGAGTGATTAAATCATCTATCGACTGCTTTTCTTCACCTAGCATTAGCCAACTTGATTTGAAGTTTTGGAAACTATTTGGAAGAATCTGCATCGCTTTGCATACTAATAGCAGCTCTGGTAGTTTATTTTCTCCCGATGCCTGAAGCCCACTGTTTAATTCGTTCCATAAAGTCTTCAATCTTGCAATATGGCCGGATACATCTACATCCGCTAACCAATTGAAATCGAAAAAAATGCTACATACTTGGAACAGTTGGTCTTTAGTTGACGCTTCAAAATTTCTTTTTAATTTCTCCCAAACTTCAAGCGCTGTGTTTTTGTCCATTATCTTTTGGTATGTATCTTCTGTGACTGCATTTGCAATTACTGATTTGGCATAACTGTTTGCCTTTCTAAACAGATCTGATTTATTTTTAAAATCTTTTGCCTGTTGCTCTGTTTGGTTTTCTAGTAATTCTGGTTTCAACAACTTCCCATCAATCACATCAAGTGCGCCCTCATGGTAGTCCATGAAATCTCGAACACGACGTTTCCAAATGGGCCAATCGGCTGCGCAACTTAACTGTTTTATTTGAAGCTTTGAATCCATTTCTTCCTTGTCTTTCAATTTGACCTTTTAATTAGAAGCAAAATATCGAATTTCAGGGAATGAAGAAGCACGTGTTTTTTTTTTCACTTCAGTCTTCACAAACACAAAGGAATCTTCCGATATTTCTTTATCCTAAATTTTCTTTTCAAATCAATTAATTAATAAAAACGTTATCTGGGCCCATAACCTGTTAAATTTCTTGTCACGTAGATCGTTTAATTAATTGATATAATATTGAAAGACATTAAAAGAAGAGAAATAAACCAAGCAACGTTCTCGACTTGTTTATTATCAACCGGATCAACAGAAAAGGGAAAAGTGAAGTTACATACAAAGCAAAGAACATTTGGTCCAAAAAAAAATAAATGTATATTATAAATCATAATGTTTTAATATAAAACATAAAACTCGACATTTACACCTTCGGTCTTCGCCTAATTTAGACATTATTAAAATTTCCACTATTTTGATTTGTTTGCCTAATTGCTGATGGGAGCTTTTTTTAAATAGTGAGAGCTTCCCTTTATTACAATACAACTCCTGTTTTAAAATTTGTTAGAAGACTTGAAAATTGATTCAAATTTCATTATAAAATATTTTAGCAACTTAAGTCTTTTTTCTTTATTGTTTCTCGGTCAAACGAGGATTGCTTGCATGTTATTCTTACTTTTAACTAAACTTTTGTGCGGCAAATTATTATTAATTTTTTAAATGTGGTAAAAATATTTAAAAATTAACATACAAAAATAAATGAAAACTATGAACAGCGCATATGAAAGGACTACTGAAACGTCTTGAATTCGAAAAAAGAATGGTGACAGCAATATTTTCTTTACTTTACATTTTCCGGGTCTAGTTTTTGATACAAAAATTTTAAATACCCTGAAAATACAAATTTAAAAAAATACAAATTAAAAAATATCAAAATGTCTTGGCTTTAGTTGAAACTATTTAAATTTGATTTTAGATATTTTAAATTATTTTAAAACATTTAAAAAAATTGTTAATCTTATTAGGATCATATAAATCACCTGGAAGAATTAAAATTGAAATCCTGGTTTTGGAATCAAGTTTGAATATTACACAAATATTAATGTCGTTTTATTAACAATTTGATATTTTTTGACAGAACGATGAAATTTTTTGGAGTAAAACACAACAGAAAAGAATAATAGCAACAAAACAAGTTAATAAAAATAGTAATACAAAAATGCAGTTGAAATTAATAGTTATGTAAGAAAATAAATTAACTTTTAATATAACAGTATATTGGATTTTTAAAATTGGCATTCAAGAAAAAAAAACGTTCCAAATTAACTACAAAAAATAAACAAGAATTCAAAAAAATGTATTTTATGGTTTTATAAAATTTGCTACAATTTTCAATAAAACTTTATCTTGGATGGTTTTTCTTAACAAAATAGACATATATATATATATATATATGAATATAATACTCAAGAGAAAAAAATCGTGAGCGCAGGCCAGGCCTATATGCTCACATCCAAGTAATATAGCCAACGCCGGCCTTTGCTTTTTTGACAGATCGGGCAAAACATGTAGACGTGCCCCTATGTATTGTTGATATTAGCAATGGAAGATAGGTAGCTTAACAAGCGAGGCCAGAAGCAACAAATGTAGATATATGCTAAAGACTTTTTTTAATTAATTTTTAATCTAAGTGTAGAATTAATTTTTTTAAAGATATGTTTTATTGAAAACAAGTATATAAATAAACAACCCAACTAGGTGAATTTTATAAAAGATGTTTTTATTACAAAAATAACAAATTCTTCTAATTTAATCAGCAAAACATTGAATAAAGTCATTAAAATGTAACTTTCCTAACTTTTTTGTCAGCAAAATCTTTTATCAGGCTTGAAAATAAATTTTCTGCTATTTTTTGCTCGATTGATAACTTGGCCAAAGAGTTAAGTCAATCTTGCAATATAGTGCTTCTTCAATATGTTTTAATTAGTTTCAGTTTAGAAAAGCTACGTTTCTCACTTGAAGCAAATAGAGATAGTAGAAGAAAAATGCGCAGAACAATCCATGTATTTGAATTGACTCTTGTAAAAAATGGTTTTAATAAAATTCAAAACAATGAAGGGTGCTATATATATATATATATATATATATATATATATATATATATATATATATATATATATATATATATATATATACTTTTTTTAATTTCCTTGCTCACCTATTTTATCTATAATAAAAACTAAACACTTATTAGTTCTTTACATAGCAAGCACCATCAATATCAGACTTTGAACATACGGTTAATTTTTTTTCCAATTCTTTACACAATTTTAAAAGTTCATGCTTGACGGATAAAAGATCCAAATAAAATAAAAAAAACCATATATTTACATATTCATCCAGTTGTTCAAAACGTTGTTTAATTGATGATAGAACGTGTCTAATAAAGTTAACAAATTCTACTTCAAGTTTCTTTTCTGATCCTAAATCAGAAATCTAGAACTAACGGAATAACGAACACTTGACGATTGTTGAATGCTACAGCACAGGTGCTGGAAATATAGAGATTATTGAAGTTAAAAATTATAACATCGGTGTTGGCACCTGTAACAATTATTCTAAGCCTTTTGATTGCTTGACTGAAACTTGTTTGGTATATTTTTCCGAGGGCATTGGGAGATGAAGTGTCCTGGTTTTCCACAGCCAAAACAAACCTTTTTACCCCTGATCCGAGGGACAGCTGACTGTACCATATAGTCTTGAATGACGTCAACTGATCGACGAAGCGCGTTTATTTGCCGCTCCACTGCCTTCAACCTGTTTTCTGTTGTATCCTGCATGTTCCTAACCTGTGGGGTAAACCTGTAGGATGAATTAACTAAGTTTTTTGAAACTTCAAGGCGCTGTGCAATTCGTAACCAATCATCAATATTTCTTGGTTCCCTTTTTCTAACTTTTAATTCTAAATCAGCGTTATTAAGAGCAAATAGAAAAAAATCTCTTGTTAAATGTACCGCCAACTTTGACTGTTCGCCCGGGTAAGCTAACGACATTAACTTTTTTACCGTTTTTGATAATTCACGAAGCGATTCACCTGGTTTGCGTCGAAGAGTCTTCAACTAATATCTATACGACTCTTCGTGACCACTCGTTCGATAACGGTTTTCTAGTTTTGTTACAATGATAACCTGGTCCCGCTAAGTCCGAAAAAACTTCAGCAGCTTCACCTGTCAACGAACATGACAGATACTCCTTCATGTCGTCCATACTCCATTGGTTATACATAGCACATATCTCGAACTTCTTAAAAAAAGTTTTGAGACACTCATGGCCATCAAACTTGTCTGGTTTTAACAGCTCATGATGTCGGACCAACCTGTGATGTTTGGTATTTACACTCGGCTGACAATGCAATGATTCCCCGTGGTCGTCGAACGAAAGTCTATGTTCGACTTTTTCATCCTCTTAAACCATTCTGCACCTATTCCTGGAATTTGAAACAATATTACGTTTACGAATAACAGAGAGGCTTTGTGCTGGCGTAGGCTTATAAACTGGTAAAACTTGTTCTGGCGCGAATTCCGTAGACTTGAAACAGAAAATTTTCTGTGCGTCGTTAAACCCATTATCTGAAAATCCTGAAGAAGTTTTACAAACAACTGCCTGTACTGATTGTTGACCTACTTGATACTTAAAATTTAAAATATTTTCGGTAGAACCAGCCCTGTCACCTAAAAAATTTGGAAAAGTTTCGTTACGGCTCCTATCGTGCCTGTCACCTAAAAGTTTGGAATTAGGAATTTTATTTCAGTCACTGCAATACCTGTCACCTGAAAGTTTGGGAGAAACAATTTTAATTTTATCTGTTATATACTCGTCACCTAAAAATTGACGAGGGTAATCACCTTGACTACTGCTGTACCTGCACCTAAAACTTTTGAAGAAGAGGCCCAACGTTGGGCGCCAATTGTGAACTTATGCCTCGCGGCGAAATTTTTTCTTTGCTCGATTATCAACAACCGCCGCCGCCAGCCTAGGCAGTCTCGCTTCTGACCAGGACTCGCCTCTTCACAACACTTTATTTCCGGGTTGGAAAATATGGGCCAGGCGGAAGAATTATTGCGCCCTGCTTGCTGGTCGGTTAATCCGGCCTTATTAATCGCTAGCAAGTCTCTTTCAAACATATTTTAGTTTTTAAAAGTGACAAACAAAACCTAACTGAAATAATTCTATTAATAAACAAAAATAAAACAAACAAAATAATATTGACTTAAAATATTCTTTAAATCGAATGTTTTTAAAGTCAACGACAGAACTAAATTAAATATTCTTAGTAAACTAAAAATATTTTTACCAGCCGTAATAATGAATGAAATTACAAAACAAAAAAACGCCAGAGCAACCAAACATGCAGGAACCGACCGACTAATAACTAACCACAATAAACCCAAAAACTAATTCAAAACACTAATTCAAAACACTAACTTAAAACACTAACTTTCCTTTTCTTCACAATTGTCAAAAATGCTTATATACTAAAGTTCTAAACAAACTGAAAAAACATTCATTCTCAGACATACTCACTATTTAATTAATACCATATTCTACCAACCTGCACACAAAACCAATTCATACGACATTCGACAAACCTGCCCACCTGACCATTTCATACAACATGCGCGCCAACATACACACTTGCGCCATTCATTCCACATGCGCGCCAAAAAAACTTCACACAGCAATATAAAAAGATAGAGAAAAAGACTTAAGAGATACAACAAGACATTCAAAAGAAGAAAAAATAAAGGAAGGTTTAATGAAAGCAGTAAATAGAGATTTATAAAATAGACAGATACCCCCATAAGAAGAATGAGAAGATGGTAGAAGATTTTTTGAAGGTCTAGAGAGTTCAAGGAAGCTGTAACCATCAAAAGTAGCAAGAATAAAAGAGAAAGAGAGTTAGAGTCCTCTTGCCAAGTTTCAGTAAGACTAAAAAAATCCGGTAAGGAGGAAGAGATTATTTGATGGATATAGAGCGATTTTTTATTAATTATTCTTATGTTAATATTAAATAGTAAAAATGTTGAGGTAGGTTGGATATTGGTATTTTTAAATTTAGTTATATTATTTAAATTAATAAAATTATCTTATATAAATTAATTACATTAGAGTGAGGTTTAATAAAGATATTATACTTGCAATTAGTATTATTATTATTAATATAATTATTGTTACTAACTATATTTATTTTTTTGTTAGAGTTAGATTCATTGTTTTTATTGTTATTGTAGAATTTTCGTCGACACCGCGATGGATGCCGCGGTGTTCTCCCCTACCACCTCTTCCGTCGACGCGCTCGTCGTCGCCGTTATCCTCGCTTCGTCGGCGATCGTCGACATGATAGGGTCGGTGTCGGTCATCAGCACCGTGGCGATCGCACACGCCACCTGTCGCTCGATACCGCACACCCTCATTTTCCTCACTCAGGCGGTCGTTCCCTTGGCCGGGACTCGCCGGTCTACAATATCTTCTACCGACCTCAGGGTTGGAATATACGGGCCGGGCAAAAGAGATGTTTCGCCCTTCTTGCCGGGCGTACGGACCGACCTTTCCGCACGCTCGCAAGTCTTCCCTCAAGCGTTGACTCATTTTTAATATTTTACGAATACAATACTACAAATTAATTCTTTATAATTTTTATTGACAATGATTAATAATCAAACAATTAAAATGTTAATAAATAAGAATCTTTCTGTATTATTTTCGTCGTTATTTTGTTCACTACCCTTATTACTAGTATTGTTATTGTTGTGACTATTATTGTTATTATTATTATTATTATTATTTGAAATTGGAATTGTTTTGGAAGTAGTTTTGTCTACTTAGGTAGATTATATGGTTTTGAAGGTAAGGATACAAGAGCCAAAAAGGAAGTTAGCGCAAACTGACCAAACTGCTGGAGACCACCTCTGGCCTTGACATTAGACCGCAACAGAAACTAAAAATACTACGATACTTCATTCCAACACAAATTCAATTTGAACTCCGCAACTATAATTTCTCGCCAACATGGATATCGTCCAACCTAGATAACCTGATCGTAAGTAAAGTCAGGGAGTGGCTTTCGATGCCGATCAGCGGATGTGTAGCGGAGATACTTTCACTACCAATGAAACTCGGGGGTAATAACATCATGTCACTAAGAAACACTGCAGAAAAAACAAAAATGAAAGTTCGCAGCTATTTAAAGAACAGCGATAATGAAGAAATTAAATGCTTATGGCACGAAACCTCTTCAAACTTTGTCAAACCTGACAGTTCGCTGAAAGTAACAGGCTCATTAAAGCAGTCTCTCAAACTCCTTGATGAATCCCGAGTGAAGTCATGTCTCAACCACATCATCGAACTTCAATCTCAAGGTACAGTGCTCAGGTCAATTGGCGAACTTATTACTCCGGCACGGATAACTTGTTGGTCGAAAATTGTTGACAACATGTCCGGGATACATTACAGATTTGTGAGAAAATACATAATTCAACAACTGCCCACAAATTCAAATCTGGTCAAATGGGGCAAAACCACAACTCCCTTGTGCCCACTGTGTAACGTTCGACAAACAAACAAGCATGTAGTGTCTAACTGTGGTTCAACATCGGCTCTGAAGAGATACACAGATAGACATAATAAAGTACTGGCGTTGATGATGGACGAGTTGAAGTTACAGGCTCCAAACGATTGCTGTTTGTTTGCAGATTTGGAAAGGGAAGGCATTCGTCCAATGTCACTCCTATTCAACACGCTACGACCAGACATTGCCATTTTGAGGGGCAATAAGATTGAAATATTAGAACTGACGATATGCCATGAAACTAATCTAATTTCATCGAAACAATATAAACAACAAAAATATAAAAATTTAAATGCATATCTAAATAAAGAATATAAAGATTGTTCTATAATAATTAATACATTTGAATTGTCGCCAATTGGTTTATGTAATAATTTTAATCTATCGATATTTAAATTTACATGGTCAATACCGTTTAACTTTAAATTAATAAACAGTGTTATTAGCTCGTCATATGGAATTTATTGTGACAGAAACATTGCCTAATGCTATTTTAAATATAACTTACACCCATGCACTTGCCATTGGCAATGAGGATGGGTGGATCGTACATTTGAATATTTTTATTCTATTGATTATTTTATTTTATTCAATTTAACATTTTAGTTACAATTTATTATCTTAATATCTTATAGTTTCATTGTGTCTATTGGATAAATAAAATATGTTCACATTTATAATCTATAGTTTAATTAACTTAATGGGATGTACCGTCGGATAGTGAACTTCGATCGAACTTCTTTAGATGATGATGCACTTCGGACAAACTTCTTTGGACGATGGTGCGCTTCGAATGCACTTCGAATAAACCTCTTCAGATAACGATGCGCTTCGGATAAACTTCTTCCGATGATGATGTACTTCGAACGAACCTTTTCAGATGATGATGTACTTTGAACAAACTTCTTCAGATGATGATGCACTTCGAACGAACTTCTTCAGATGATGATGTACTTCCCTCACAAAGTTGATGGCCTCCTCGTCTCCGTCGACCTGAATATCTGAATGATTCAATAAACCAACGCCAGAATAATTCCCCCTTGTCTCCCCCTTTGTTGGAGTATATATAGCCTTTGCCTTCTTCATTTCTTCATACATCCGATTATGACATACAATTTATATCGGACGATATCGAAACGTTCATCGGCGAACAAATACGGCACCAAATGTATAAACTGGCGCCTCTTGTGTGAGCTCATCATTTCAATACATCGCGAATGCGCCTGCCTTTATTTGTCATACATACTGTAACACTCGATTGAAAGTAGGTTACAGTGAACAAAAGTTTAAGCTGTTTGCATCATGTCTTTGTTCTCTATTGGAAACTGTACCAAAGTTTAGGCGTGCTCGATCACTATTGGTTGTTGACCATCGACAGACTCCGCAAAGCCTCTAAAAGTGTGTCACGGGATAAAAATGGTTCAGCATCACAATGTGCGCATAACGTACGCGCCTGTCTTTGTTCATCAACTATAACCGGGCCAAAGTTTAACCGAGCTTCTTTGTTAGTGTTATCATCAGATTTTACATTATTATTAGCCCTAAGATTAAAGTAAAAAATTCGCCGCCAAACTACTCTTGTCGGAGACAAAGGAGTGTTAGAGGGGCTTAAGAAAAGTCTTTGGAATAAGTCATAATAATATTTACGAGTTATAGGAAAAGATATAGAAAAAAATATAATAATAGTCATAAAAAAATAGTCATAGTAAAAAAGAAGAGAACTCACTTGTTCAGAAACAAAAAACAAGAATCCATCCAAATTACAAAACCACCGAGAAAACGTGCCACCGTCACGCTAAAGGCTAAGCGACTTAACTATAACTAGTATGAGGAAAGAACCGCTGCAATGAAATCTTGACTCAAAAGTAGCGAAGCCAGTTTTGATGAACGCTCTAATAAAAGAAGAAATTGATCTGGATGAGTTTGATATTTCGAATCCAGAAAAACAACAGCTCGCCGATTCAAAAGAAATGATAAAACAACAACAGCTTGCCGAATAAAAAAAATGATGAAATTACAACAACAATTTGCTGAAATGAATAGAATATTTGACCAGCAATCAAAAATCTTCAAAACGGAAATAAACCAGCAATCAAAAGTCTTTGAAACAAAATTAAACAACAGGTTTGACGGAATAAACGAGAAGAAAAAACAACAAACGATCATTCGAAGCAGTATTAAGAAGACGAATGACACAACAGAATAGTGAAGACAAACGCGTCCAAGTGATAAGTGAAAATGACACAGAAACAGTTACACAGGAGTGAGATTGTCCTACCGGTTTAACCTTCTACGGATGACTTCGATTGCAATACACATGATATCTTCGACGGACTTGTTAACTGCGACGCACTTGACAACTGCATGCACGTATTGTCGTGAAGAAAGTTACCGTAATAATGAACTGCTGACGAAGAGGACAATGAAGATTTTTAAAATATTCAAGAAGTTACCAGCAACAAAGACATGAGCACTTTTGATATGCAATGGGACTATTACTCAGATTTTTCTGCCAGCAATTTGTCTGTTACTATTTATAATGCTCACTACGATCGT